TACGGGAAAGACCCCTCATCCGATGCCGTAGCGGATGAGGCCCTTCAGCAATGATAACCTTGATCACACGAGCTATAAGCTTGAAAACCCAGTGAAAAATTGTTAAATTATACTCTTTTAAGTAAGATTATAATTTATAATCTTACTTAAAAGAGTATAATTTGACAATTTTTCACTGGGAGGCGTGAAAGACTTTGGTACTTTGAGCCTTACACAGTGACATTGTACATTTTGACGTTGTTCAGTACAATTTTGTTCTGTATGTTAGATATTTTTCTTTCTTCTTTCTTCTGAGCGTGTTTAATACTTCTCGTTTCATCTTTTGGTAATGCATTCCTTTCTCGTCATCGAAGAAGATTTTCTGGCTAGATAGTAGTATAGAAACAGATACAGTTGGACATAACACCTTACAGCGCTCTTCATTGTTCAAGACAGACCTCTACCACAACGTTCAATAGACAGTTCCTATGATAACAACAGAATCCGTGATAACAGTACAAATTCAAAATCGAGTACAACTCCTACAAAAGCATCTATCAATAATTATATATCATTTTCATGAAATAATTTTACTGATCGGTACATCCTCAGAGTTTACCTTGAGTTTTGATTCATAAAGATGTGAAACATCTACTTTTATCACATGATCTGTTCTCATCGAGAGCTATCAAGTATATATTGAACGAGCTTGTAGAGTGCCCAGCATGAATCAACTAGTAAAACTCATGTAGAGGCTGCATAACTGCATAATACTTTCCATTATTTTACCTAGGGACTATGTCTTCCTTCAGATTAGACAGATACCAGTAAGTGTATACGATGGAACATGGAAATGGAGAGGAGAGCGTACATTTGTTACAAATGATCAATAACGATCATACGCAGATTGTATATAATATCAGGTATGGGTTGCGATGAATGTTAAATCATTACAATTTGCATAATTTAATCGATCATAGATTAAGCACAATATCAGGTTGAGAAGTTGGTTTTTACCATCATTCGAACACCACTAGTAGCACTAGTTAACCTATAAAGTGGAACAGGTTTTTCAATAATAAATATATGCATCATTTGTAATACTGGTTGGAGTTGACGAAATACTCGTTATCCTTTGTGAATAGATGAAGTGTAAATTTGTGTATGGTTCCAGAAGAAAACATGTTGAAAATACATTATTTATAACTGAGTAGTAATGGATGACTATGTTCCTTTTTATAGCATAACTCATTCGCAATATTTGTAAGATTCCGGTGATTGCTGGAATATTACGCAATTACAGATGAATTGCAGATCATGACCGAAGATTTCTCAGACAAAGAAAAGTCATCATGAGTCATATAATATTTCACTCACATTTTATGTTACTTTTTCCGTGAGATTCATGAAACTTGTATTTTGAAATAATTTTTTTTCGGCTTCTGATTATACCAAATTGTACAATACGAATATTTGTCGTCTTGTGGCAAATTAAAACATCGTTTCAATATCGACCGATGCAACTAAAAGCAAAATTATTATGAAAAAACACTAATATTTATACCTCTTTTATAATCTGGGTAAAATCTAAACGCAATAGAGATTAAGACGGAAGTAAAAAAATACACACAATGGGAAAAAATGATATTATAAAGCACGTGTCTTATCTAAAGTTGGAAGTATACAACGTATAGCCTGTATTTTGCACTTTCATGTTTCGTCTATGAATCATTCTGATGAATAATAATGACGAAAGAAAAGGTTCGAACGATCTGGGTACTTCTGGAAAATACTGCTTTTCTTCCGTGAACTCACAGCTGATCGCAATATTAGTCAAGAATACAGATGAATCGACTGGGTTTTTTTCGCCGACGTATATGAAATAAATGCACTTTTTTGTGTCGATTTATAGACTCGTCTGTTGCCATGTTATTTTTTTTTCCTATTCTGTGGGTTTTTTTTCACATAACGACACTGCTGCGCACAAAAAAATAGAAGCGCCCTATGCAACCACTCTTTTTTCTGTTCTTTTGCTATTTATTATCAAAAAAAAACAAAATTATAGTCGTCGCACAATAATACCCAATATGGCACATTGTTTTTGCATTCCTTTGACGAAGAAAAAATTCTATTTGCACTTTGTATTATTTTAACGGAAGATAGTGACATTATATGATTACCAAGATTTACCTTTGACTTCAAAAAACAAAGAATTAAAAATTATATCATTTAAAACTATTATAAAAGACATAGTGTTGAAATAAAAAAAAGAAAAATTGTAAAATATGCAATATTTTAATTTTAAATTAGTTTTCGTCTAGATTTTCAAATTTTTATAATAGAATAAAGCATATTAAAAGGATTCAATATAGAACTATCAAATGTTTAAAACAAATATGTATATAAAATGAAAGCAGTCAAGAACAATTATAACCTTTAGAAAAGAGTATCATTAATTATAAAAAAAAAGTAGTGGAAAGTAAATTGAACATTGTTAAAGCTAACTATATTAGTACTTTCGAAAGGTGGCGTACTGAACTATTAAAATATATTAAATCATTTCTTATCAATTAATATAAATATCGATTTATTTATTCAGTGTCTAATTTTATGAATTTTTAAAATAAATATACATTATTCATTAGCATAAAAGAGTTCGTTACATGGTAACGTTCAGTGCTATGGTATGTTCAACCAATCACAATGAGAGATGGTCTTAAATTAACAGGTATTATCATAAAAGATACCTTGCAAAAGATTTAATTTCTAAAAATAAAATAAACATGTCATTGCCTTAATTGAATATATAAATATTATTTCAGAATTATATTATAATAAAATGTCAACTACTGTTAAAACATATCAAAATCGTATTCGAAAACATTCACGTAATGGAAGTAACACCAGTTATTGTAAAAGTATATGCTCAAGTCATGGTAGTGCTGATAATGATTCATTTATGGTATGCACATGTATCAATTAATTCTAAAATAAAATTTAAGAAAAAAAAACAAAAGTATATTTACATACAAGATACGATCAAGAGATTATAATATTTCTTTTTCTTTCTTTACTTTTGTTCTTGTTTATTAACATGAAACCTTTCAAAATTATATGCATATTATCAAGCTTTTTTCAACAGATGACATCATATAAATAAAACCTTTATTGAACGTAAATCAAGGCTTTCATATGTGTGTATGTGTATATGTTTCGTTGAAATGTAAAGAAAAAAAAAAGTTCATACAGTATTTGTTCTTCTTTCTTATTTATATAATATAAGTTAAAAGTGCTTGCATACGTACATACATTTATTTCTCTTATTCTTCTTCTCCTTCTTGTTCTCATCTTTTGACTTTGCTTATTGGCATCTATGAAAATCATTCTTGCTATTGCCAGCTGTTGCATCTTATTATAGTCAATACCATTGCTTCTTGAAAAATATTCGTTCTCTTTGCCTTTTCGAAATGTTATGCACATGCAAACGAAGTATATAATTCTATATAAAAAAAAACAGATTTGTTTACCTAATCTTATGTATACATCATATATTCTTTTTCGCTCGTTTTTTTTTTTATGAAACATCAACAGATGACCTTCTTCTGCACATCTGTCACATAATACGAGATCGATGATGCATTTTCTTTTTTATTTTAATTAGGAACTCACCGACGAGCACGTTTTACGTTTGCTCGACCAAGCTATTGATCAGTACGACGATACTAGTTCAATGAATTCCAGACGTTATTTACCGCAAATCCCTTCTCAACCAAATACAATATCAGTGAATAATCAGTCTCGATCAGCTATTGAAGATTTATTTCAAGTATTTGATAATAATGCAGATTTTATTACGAGAGGAAAACGTTTATTAAATAAAAAACGAAAACTAGAACAATTAAGAGCACAACTTAATTTACCTGAAGATTTAACTGAAGAAGATACAGTTAAATTAGCGCAAATAAGAGAACGTCTTAGAGCAAAACGAAAACTTCGTGAGTAAATTTATTTTGTTTTTTCTTGTTGAAAATTTCTTTCTTTTTTTTTATCTAGCAACTGTTAATATTGAACCAAAAAAGTCATCAACGAATGCAGAATTCAAATTAATCAATCGAATTTCATCAACGAGTATGCCTGATCTAACTCCAATAGCATTGTAAATTATTCATTAAGACACGTAAGAAAACTAAGAGAATTTATTTTTTTTTAGAGGTGATACAACAAATCGATCATCATTAGTTGATCTAAATACTTCATTGAACAGTTCTGTGTATCGAAAACGACGACGAAAATCTCTTTTTCGAGTAAATAAAACTTAATTCATTTTTTTTGTTCTATGAAATTTAATATTTCATCCAATTTTTTTCCAGTCAACTTTAACTTTGATGGTAAACCGTGAGAAGATTATATGTCTAGGTGAAGGATATTATAGTTTTTTTTAGAAGTTTATTATTTTTTCATTTTGCTTCTATTGATTTTTGTTAATTGAGTAAATATTTTATTTTATACACATCAGATGATGATAAGTAATTGATTGACTGATTTAACCATTTCATATGAATGTATCTTCCATATTAATTTCAATAACATTAATTAGATTTTTTTTCTCAATAGAAACAAGTTGGTCCTGAATTTGTTCTTAAACCAGATAATAAAGTTGAAAAAATTACTGTTCCTAGTCCAGTAAGTTTATTCTATATTTTGAATATTTCATATTTTTATTTTATATTTTATTTTACAAAACAGAATCCATTTGAATGTATTTGTCAAATTATAGTTCTTCTTCCTAATAATAATTGTGTGCAAGTTTCCTGTAAACCAGATGCAACTATACGAAATATCTTTGAAACTATTGCATCTTATATCGATTTAATTGAACATGATCTGTTTGGTCTTACAATTCTAATTGGTTAATATATGATTCAGTTTAGCTTTTTGTTTATTTTAAAGGTATTTTTTCTTTAGATAGTGAATATTGTTTTCCAGCTATGGATCTTAAATTATCGAAATTAATCGATGATTCAAAATGGAAAAATGGTCAAGCTAAATATGTTATGCAATTGAAAATAAAATTTTTTGTTAATGATATTGCATTACTGAGGTTTATTATTGATATAGAAAAAAGAAATTCATAATTGAATTGCTTCTCTTCTTTTTTTGTGTTAGACATTTTTTAACTCAACATTTTTTTTATTTACAATTTCGACAAATGATTCTTGCTGATACATTTCAAATAACAAATGAACAAAAATTATCATTTGCATCGTTAGCATTTCAAGCTGAATATGGTGATTCAACAAATAATGAACAATTTCAAAGTGATTATATTGTTGAATATTATGCATCCAAAGATTTAGTGAATGAGGTTTGAAATTTATTTCCTAAGAAATAATTATATAGATATTATTTTTTTAGTATGGTACTGAATATTTACGACATGAAATTATTAAAAGACATCATTTTTATTCGGAATTAAATGATGTACAAGCTGAACGAATGTTTGTTGAAAATATGATGAAATTAGGTAATGACATAATTGAAAATGAATTAGACATAATTCTTTTTTATAGATGATTATGGTTATCATATGTACAAATTATATAGAGATACAAAAACTGATGATATATTTCTTGCTGGTATACGTTTACAAGATATATCAATATGGCAAATAAGAAATCGACAACGACAAGCCAAAGTCACTTATGATTGGGATCAAATTGAACGAGTAGATTTTGATAAAAAATCATTTTCTATTATACTTAAACGTCAAACAAATGACGCAAAAATGAAATATTTAACAAGTAATAGTAAAAAGTAATTATTAATATTTTCTTTTTTGAAAATTATAATCAATTATTTTTATCATTTAATAAGAGGAAAATATTTATTTGAATTATGTTCGGATACAAATACATACACAAAATCACTTCTTCTTCGTCATAATAGTCGATATAGTCTTTTAAATGAACCTATTAATGATGGTACATTTCTTCTTTTTTGTTTTAAATCTTTATTATTTTGCTTTTTTTATATAGGTGAATTTGTTCGTAATAGTTCCGATGCAGATAGTATAGATCTAAATGTATGATATTTGTATTAAAATTATACATTGGTAGATTTATTTCTTCCTAGTTTAGCCTGGTAACAGTAGATCACAATCACATGAAAATTTAAGTACATTAGAAAGGTAAGATCTTATTAGTAAATTAAATGCATACAAAATTCTAATTATTGATTTAGAAATACAATAAATACTACACCATCGATTATGATCTATGATGTTAGTTTATATAAAGATAGTTATAATAGTTTTGGTATGTCACTTATGGGTGATTCAGCATCCGGTATTTTTGTTAAATCTATTCATCCATCAGATGGAAGTGCAGCTAGATCAGGAAAAATTCAAACAGGTTTTTGTTATATATAATCGTTTAAAAAGTTCTATTTTGTAAACGATTTAATAGGTGATCGTCTTTTATCTTACAATGGAAAAAAGGTTGCCGGTATGACTGTGCAAGAAGTAGCAGATATTCTTAGTCTATTACCAAGTCCTTGTCAATTGAAATTATCCAGACATTCAATTCCTACATTAAATCAACGAAATAAATCGCAACGACCAATGAGTGTCGATGCTGATTCACTTATTCAACAACAAAAATATAATAAACAGATATCAAACCAGAATTTTTCGAATACTCTACCATTAAGACCTGTTTTATCTAATGAAAGTATTCTATCGCAAGTATCCGATCTTCAAGGTACACGTGATATTAAAAGTGCTGTATTTCCTGTTACTATTGATAAAACTGGTCATAACAGTCTTGGTTTTCTTGTTGTTGTATGTAATCAAATTTTTAAAACAAAACAAAATAGAATATCATTCTTTTAATTGTTAAGGGTGGTGTTGATTCAGAAATTGAAGATCGTGGGATATATGTTAAGAGTATTACACCAGATGGTGCTGCTGCGAAATCAAAATTACTTAAAGAAGGTATAATACATTTTATACTCGAATTATTTATTATTAAAAAAATTCTACATTTCTTAGGTGATAAAATTCTCGAAGTTAATGGTGCTTCATTAGCACGAGTAACACATTCTGAAGCAGTTGAATTATTTCGTCGAGCAACAAAACCAAAGTGTCATCTACTTGTTCAACGTCTTATTTTTCCTAATACTAAGTCACGTTCAGCATCAGTAAATAGCGTCTATCCATTTGCTCGGCCAGGTATTATATTTAAATTCAAAAGAAAAATTAAAACTTTCTCATATATGTTATAATTATTATAGATAATACATTCGAAGTTCTTTTAAATCGTGGTCATAATGGTTTAGGACTTAGTTTAGCAGGTGGAATAGCTGAAAATAAACCCATTGAAATTATTGATATTTATGAAAATCAACCAGCAGCTTTATCAGGTCAATTGGATGTTGGTGATGTTGTTTTGTCTATTAATGATGTTGCTATGCAGAATCGAAATGTTCGAGTATGTCACTTTGTTTTTTTATTAATAGAAACGGAAATTAAATTAGTTTTTCTAGGATGTGCCGACAATCATAGGTGTAACACGAAATGTTAAACTACTTGTTTGTCGACCTGACCCTAAAGAATATCAATCTTATTTGGTTTATATTTATTTTCACTTTTAAATAATATAAAAAATTATTTTTTTTTGTTTATTTTATTAGGATCATCAAATAGATAGTCCCAATCGATCAGGTACATCTGGATCAGTGAGTAATGATCAAAGTCGAATTTCAAATAATGCAGTTCGTGATTTACCACCTAAATCACCTGGAAATAGACGTCATACAACAACAACAACAAAAATTAAACGTGGCGAGGTAAATACAAATAGATATACATATATATATATATATATATATATTTGTGAATTTGAGCACATGTGTGACAAATAGATTTCATGACAATCAATATTGAAAAGATACTTTTAAAATAGAAATTCAGTGTTTGATTGTTGTTTAAAGAGAATTTACAATTTTCGATTTTCTTTCGTCTAATTCATTATTCTAACTGTTTTTGCATTAATTAAAACGCTTCTTCAAAACACATATTAGGTGTTTGTGGTGATAATGAACAAAGAAAAAGATAATGGTTTTGGTTTTACATTATCATCAGGTTCAACATCAATCGGATATCCACATATTCGATCTGTATTACGTGAACCTGCACTATCAGCTGGATTAAAACATTGGGATCGTATTTTATCAATAAATGATTGTGATTGTCAAACAATAAGTCATCGTGACCTTGTTGCATGTCTTCGATATGCACCAACAGGTCTAGTACATTTTTTTATTTATCGACCACGTATTGATGAAATTGTACATGCTAAAGAAAAAAGTCGATTATTTCAAAATACATCTTATGCATCAACAAGTGCTGGCGTGAGTTAGAGAGTAACGCTTTTCACTCTCTATATTCTTTCTATAAATAAATGCATGAGATAAAAAAACTTCTTTTGCTTTTTCTATTATTATTATTATTATTATTATTATCGTTAATCTACTTAAATATACTAATGATATTTTAACACAACGAGTGCGTGTGTATTTGTATTTTTGTTTGCTTAGAGATCAATATAATAAGTATATTAATCTATTTACTTGTAGGATCAGTCTGGAATGAATGGATCAGCTCCTTCATCGCCTGCTCTACCTGTTAAATCTACTAAATCTGAATTATTTAATGAGCCAGTGGTAAGATTTCATTGTTACATAATCTATTTAATGATTGTTTGATTTAAGCAATACCAAAAAATACAAATCTCATTACCTAAAGCTCCACAAGGAACGTTTGGTATTGGACTTGGTCAGATCGATCCTCAACAATCACGTGGTGGTATTTATATTTGTGCACTTCAACCAAAGGGAATTGCTGAAAAAGATGGACGTTTACAGATTGATGATCGATTATTATCTGTTAACGATCAAAATACGGACCAGATGACTTATCGTGAAGTCGTAGAAGCATTAAAATCAGCAACAAAAAAAGGTGTTAATTTAGTCATCGCCAGGTATTTTGTTGTTGTTGTTGTTTTCTTCTATGACAATATTGAATTATATAATTGATTTAGACCAATTACTGATCCTTCTACCGTAAATAAAGTTAATATTGTTTCAGAAAAAGAAATTTCAACGGTAAGTTAATTAAAAATATATATTTTATTTATATATAGCTCAAAGTTCGAAATATTTTTAAAAATATTTTTTTATATTAGAAACATAGCGATACACCATCAGCACTTACATCAATAATAGACAAAATAATCCCACGTGAAAAACCTAAATTACTTCCTTTACCAAAAACTGAAAAAACACAAACATCTACTACTACTACTGCTAAATTATCACCTGATTCTATTGAAGCATCAACATCATCATCATCTTCAGCAGCTGGACCAGCACCAGCAACTACTAATCCTGTACCATCAGATTCTCCAGCAGAATCTCCTATTTATAAAAAGACTAAACCAACTTCATTACCTAATGTTGAAATACCAACTGATAAAAATAAAACAACTGAAGAAAAGAATAAAAACTCTCCAACTTCAAATACAGATCTCGATGAAGATACAAGTGATATAAAAACTCCTCCGATGACTCCTCGTTCACCTGTAACACCAGCACCACCACCACCAGTACTTGAATTAAAAGTACCACCATCTGCAAAACCAATATCAAGTAATTATATAAATTTCTATATATTAACATTGTATATTTCTTTTTAGCATCTCAATCAAATGATTTAACTAAACGAATAGAATATTATCAAGTAAGTCAATTAATCTATTGAATTTTAAAAAAAAAATAAATCATTTTCATAATAATTCTAATAGCAAGCAGCATCGAAAGAAACTTTAGTACTTAATGCTGGTGTTGCTGAAAAAGTTGAAAATTTAACAGCACAATTAATTAATAAAATTAGTACACCAGCTGTAACAATGGATACAGCAACATTAATGGATGAATGTAGTGAAACAGATATGAAAATTGATACCCAGGAATATTTAGAAGAATATCGAGTAAAGAATTCATTTTTATTATTAAAAAATAAAATTAAGTATTTATTATTAATATTTAGGCACTAAAAACTTTAAATGAACATGAACCATCAGAATTTAATTCAATAGCATTACAAACTGTAAATCAATCATTAAATCGTTTTCAAAATATAATTCCTTATGATTTTAATCGTGTTATTCTATCAACAAAACCAGATTATATTAATGCAAGTCATATAGCAATACCTATTGGTGAAAAATCAATGAAATATATTATCTGTCCACCTCCAGTACAAGATAGTATCAGTTAGTAGATTTTATCTAATAAAAAGAATTATTTTCTTTTTTTTTTCTATTACTTAGATGATTTTTGGCAAATGGTTGCTGATCAACGTATTAAATGTATAATAGGAATATTCAGTGAACAGGATTTAAAGAAAATGAAATGTCCAATTTATTGGCCAGCAACTATCAAAGCGACAACAACATTTTCACAATTGTAAGAAAAGAAATTTTGTTTTTTTCTTCTTCTTATAAAATAAATAAAATATTTGTTTTAGTCTATCTGTTACATTAATAAAACATCGACAACTTGATGGTGGTATTGATATAAAAGAATTTGTTGTTCGTATTACTGAACAATCAAATCATAAACAAGATCATTCAATTATATTTTTAACTTACAATAAATGGCCAATAGATGATAACGCTCCAAATGATACACAGTCATTTCTCAATCTTATACATCTAGCACATTCATATCAAATAAGTGAAACACCATTATTAATTCATTGTAATACAGGTGTTGGACGAACAGGATGTGCATTATTATTAAGTTTACTTTTAATTAAAATGATACGCGGGCGAACACTCGATATTTATGCAATGGCTAAAGAATGTCGCCGTCAACGTTCAGGTATTATTCAAACTGAACAACAATATAAATTTATTTATGAGTGTGCACGTGATGCTCTTAATATGGCTATTGAACATTCAATTATGCAAAGTGCACAATAGAAAAACGCTTATTTTTTTCTCATGTTTTTTGTATTTTGTTTTGTGTTTCTGTGTAAGCAGAAGAAAAAAAAAGAACGAGTAATATGCAAAGACTGAAAAACTGAACAAACCACTAGTTTTCATTGCCATCATACATGCCTAGACAAACGATATTAATAATTAAAATTTTGTTAAAATGATACAAAAAAAAATGTTAGTGAAAATTTATATTATATGTATATGTGTTTTTGTGACTAAGATGAACAATCTTAGTGTTCATCAACTGGATTAATTAGTAATTAGATTTGAAATAGTACACCTATTAGACCACAAGATAATTCAATAGATTCGATAGACAGCGTAAATAATATTTTATATATGTTTTAGTGGTTAAGACGACATTTTGTTTTTATTAATACATTGAATTATCTCGTAGACAGATAGGTATACTATTTCAAAACTAATTACTAATTAATCCAGTTGATGAACACTAAGATTGTTCGAAACGTCGATAATTATCACTAAAATTCGTCTTAACTACAAAAATATATATACATATAAGGTATTATTTATGCTTCTACCTTTTTTCATCTCGAAGTACGATTATTCAACAGTTGTTGTGCATTAGTTTTACTTTTTAGCTCGGATGATTCTCTTATCATCTTGTCGATTTCTTTCTAGTTAAGAAAAAAAAACTTGTAGCTAATTTTGCATTACTTTACATCTTATATGATATGACTTTTTTTTATCTAATCTCTACAATAAATATAACATAAATTAAACTGAAAGGTAAAACAATTTACACTACCATGAGTTCTACATTAGCTGTACTAGTTGTCATTGCACATCCAGATGATGAAACTCTTTTTGCTGGTTTTATTCATGCATTAACATATAAAATTCATGCAATCGTTGATCTTGTTTGTATAACTAATGGTGAAGGTGGTTTTCGACATTCTGGACCATCTGAATATTTATATAATAATTTACAATTATCAAAAGAAAGTATTGGTAGACAACATCTACCACGTATACGTAAACATGAATTATTAGCTAGTGGAAGAATATTAGGAATTCGAAAATTTTTTTTCTATGATCAGATAGATTTAAAATATGATCGAAATGTTGATGTTGTTTTTGCTGAACAATGGAATAAAGAAGAAGTTATTCAACGACTTGAACAAACAATTAAAACTGGTAATAGTTCTGATGGTTATGATATAATGCTTATTATGCTACCAAGTATTGAATCACATGGTCATCATACAGCATCTGGTCTATTAGCACTTGAAACAATAGAACGTCTTCAACAAAAACAATTAGTAAATATTAAAATTCCTACAATAATTGGTGGATCAGAATTTATTTTAAATGAAATACCCGTTTATCCATCTAATAAATTAGCAGAAATCTCTTCAATTGAACCAAATCTATTTCAATTTAATCGTACATGGAAATTAACCAATACAACTGATGTAGCCACTTATCAAATGATTGTTATATGGGCTTGTAGTGAACATAAATCTCAAGGTGGTTTAATTGCTGAAACATTAACAGGATATGCACGAGAGAATGAACAATATTATTATTTTTCTATCAATAACGAACAAATCCGTTTTCAATTGATTCAAAACATTTTTGAACAACTAGTTAACATCCATCAATACAATATTGCACATGTACTTCAATGCTAATAAAAAAATGCAAATAGAATTCATGATGCGGAAGTCATTTCCTTTCTTTCATTCGCTTTAGCTATATTTGTTATGCTACTAATTTAGATAACGCCTTTCAATATTCATTGATTGAACAACGGAACACTTCTTAATTTTTTTTCTATTATATTCTTCACATATCTATGAATATATGAGAATAAAAGAGCTTCACGTTAATGTGAATAGTTCATGACAAACATTTTTCTTTTTAGTTCGCCTTAGGGTAACTTATCATATTCATAGAACATTAGCGTCACACTATGAAGTCTTTTCCTATTTACCATCTGCTATTATTAAACTATTAATGGGGAGAGCAAGTATACGATTTCGAGCGAGCAAAAATTTAGCTTAAAATAAGAAAAAAACAATTAGTTTATACAATTATTTTTCATAATTTTTTTTTTTGACAAAAACGTAAGATGACCCAGAGAGGATGTACAATCTTTTATGAAGATATACATGTTGATATGTAAAAGACTTAATATAGTACTAACGATGTTACCTTTGTTTTGCTTTTTTTCTTTCTTTTATTGTGTTGACGAAGTATTCCACTGAGAACTAATCACTATTTTTTTATTTTTTCTTGCCTATTTTTTATCATCTTCAACATTACTTATATTTCTCTCTTTCACGTAGCTTCAATGCACGATCTATGTAGTTATTATTCTTACATTTGTATGTGACTAGAATTCATTTAGATATTAGAGATAGAACAGAAGGAGTGTCAGATTCTTGTAAATCATTAAATAGCATCTACATTCTTCGCGATTAATCGACATTGAATGACGTTGTCGATTGAACCCTTGGCTTCTGTTTTCGCAATTGATAGCTGTTTTTACTCTTCTACTAGTTTCTGAGTTGATGATTGATAAAAAAAAAATAGAAGAAGAAACAAAAGAGAGACTCTCCTTTTGAACTATAACGGGAAATTATGCACCGTCGAGCACAATCAATAATATTTTTTGAACATTATAAATGATTACAATATATATATATATATATATATATTGTCTATTTTGTTTTTCTTGTATTTTATATTTAATCATTTCAGATAATAACTATACAAATCCCTAAAAATGAGCATTCAATTTTCAATGTTATTTTGTGTATGCATTGCATTGGCCATTCCATTAATGGTTTTTTCCACATCGAATCAAGAAAAACAAGAAAACATGATCGAAAAAGGTGTCAATATGTTTGAAGAATTAAATCATCATGGTCAACAGCCAATTCATTCCCGTATTTATGATGATGAATCTAGTGATAATATTCACTTTATGTTAAAGAAAGCGGCTGATTTTGAACAAATTTTAAAACCATGCAATCGAATGCCAGCCAGTGGTCGTGGTCAAGAATATGCTGATTGTGTACGCAGTCGTATGCTACTTATGGGTAGACGAAAACGTCGTCAATCAAACTAAAAAGAATTCATAAGCAAATATTACCAATATATTTATTTTTCTGTTTCTTAACATCAGATTTTTACAATATTCTCGAATTACAGTGTATATTCTTTATCACACGTATTCACTCATTTGCTTTCTTTTTCTTCTCTTTCTCTCTATCTCTTTCTTTTAAATTACGGTTAATTTTTTGGCTGTTCGACAAACAGATGTCAATTGAAGTAATAAATAAAGGCACAGAAAAGAATTTAATTTCATAAGGAAATAATATAATCTTATCTGAAATTTTAGTTCAAATTAATAACTCATTCATTTGTTATTAAATGATATTGTATTCGAGTGTAAAGATAACTAAATATAAATTAAAGTATAATAACTAGTAGTTTTTTCAAGCGTTATTCATTGAAATACGAGTCATGCACAATGATAATCGCGTTTTTATTCTCTCTAGTGAATCAATTGCCGACCGTTTGAACCCATTAAAATAAGCATGGATCGATCCAATCATAACATGTAATTGTACGCTCAGAAAATTAGCATTATTTGAAACTTTACTTCACTCGACTAGTTCTTAGACAAGTTTTTTTCACACGTAATAGCCCCAAATTGTAAACTCATGATTTTCGAATTATGTGAGTTATTAATTTATCTAAGTTCTTTTTGTTGTTTACACCTTTCATACCCTAATGTCATGTCATGTCGGAAAAATATTTCTCATCACACAATGGGAAATGAGCAAAAAATAGTTATTTTCGATGCAATTAGGACTTGAATAGAACAAAGTGAAAAGACAAATATGTATAATAAAGAATGATTATATCAATTGATTAATGTATATGGAATGTAGATTGTGACAAGTAAATGCATCTTTTTGTTGGCATTTTTTCTCATAATTACTCAAATAATATATTCATTGTATATATTTTGATCAATAATAAAAGAATGATTGCATGTTTCGAAGCTATTTTTTATTGAGAACACGCATACTAATATAGACAAAATAGAAGTTAAACTCTAAGAACACTATGTGTGTGTCTGTGGAACAGATCAAATTGTTTTTACTAAATAACTATCTCTATCAATTCAGTTTGATAGAAATTTCTGAAAAAAAATCATCAGAAAGAGTTTTTATTTTTGTAATAACTTTCAATCTATGTAAAAGCAACGATTTTATATTGTTATATGAAAATAAAATTTATATGTTGTCAACAGAAAATAAGTATTCATTTCTAGAACATAACGGATTTCAGACTTAATAGATGACGACATATTCTGTTGGAATATATCTGAAGAATATATGTGAGCTATCATATGAATTCAATGGCATATTATCATAGACAGGATTTCTGCCTATCATTCAAATCTGTCACTAGAAATGTAATAGAAAATTTTATTTCTAATTCGTCATCGAAAATAAGGAAAAGGCTGTGACTATGATGATGACAATATTTATGTGATATATTTCTATTTAATTTTTGATTGAGATAATATTTAAACTATCTTAATGAAATTGTAATTTCATATTGATCAAATCAAAACAAAAGTATGATGCTTTTTATATTATTAATAGCAAAGATGAATACGTAAATAAAGTTATAAAATATTTTTACATATGAAGTTTTCTAAGTTAGTAATATCTCACTATATATGTATGACTGTAGAAATTAATCTTTTGTTTTAAATATATTAGATTTTATTCGAAAACTATTATCTCCATTCTTCCAATATATATAAATGAATAATTGTTGCTTTCAATTGCATTTAAGAATGACAAAAAAACAATTTACGAGAAGCTAATCACGCTATCATTAAGATAGAGTGTAGTAGTGGCTATAAAAATATAATAGTCGCATAAGAATATCCTTATCAAGTTATAAAAATAAAAGAAATTAATGATACATGTCATTAACACTATTCTCAAGTATAAGTTTTCCTTAAGTGATATAGAGATTAAATGAATGTTCAATAATTTTATCGAAAACTGAATTATGAACTTGAACTGAACTTTTATTAAGAATAATACTGATGGTATTACTCTTGACAAATAATTCAACAGCAAAAATTGTGCTATCTAGTGAAAGAATATACGTAATATCAAATAAAATAAACAGAAATATATGAATTTTTGAAATGTCTTATAAGCCGTTGATAACAGTGCCGCTCACTCTATTAAACACAGCACGTAATTTATCATCACGATAAGTAAGATTACTCAAATCACCTCTTGCAATACTAAGTGGAACACCATTAGTACTAAGTTCAGCTAATACGTGTGCAATCAAGAAAAAAAATTCCCGTAAACAAATTTTCATAAACATTATTGTAGTGTAATGTATTCTTATCATTATTATTCATCCGAAAGTGTATTGCTCATAGACAGATAATTTAATGGTCTCATTCCATAAACCCCTAAGGAAACCATAAAGTACATCTTTCTATGGATCTAATATGTAGATGTAAGGAGTAGGAATACTATTTTAACAGATACTAGTTAAAAAATGGAACACTCATTAATACTAATTCTAAAATATATATGAGATTTATTTAGCTGAAAGAAGAAAAAAAGTAGAACCATATACTTAACAGACTTAAAGTAAAATGACTGAGTCGTGAATAGATTATTTGAGTCTATGAATTACTAATAAAATTAATCAAGTGTATTAATAAATGCAGTTACACTAACAAGTAATACAATTTCTCTGAAGACAATAAAGTAATCCTGTCAGTTAGATAGTTTATTGTTTTATTTATCATTTATTAAGTAATAAATCTATGTAAGAGATAACGTATAAGCCATACTAAATATCCTGCTTGTACAGCAAATAATATTAAACCAAAAAATGAAAAAATGAATGCAATATTAAACAATACTTTAGCTTTTGTCATTTGATTTTTTTTCGCAGCTATTCGAGCAAATATAGTAACAATAATTGATGGAATGGTACATAACCAACATCCAAATATACATACAGTGTGCAATGTACATGTATATTTATTAGTATATACAAGATGACGTTCAGTTTCGAATAAAAATATACCACCATTATTCGAGTCTTCTACAACACTAACTACAGAATCAATACCATATATCGGTTGCAATGGTGAAATAAGTGACGTAGATGGTTTAATGATTGTTTTAGATGAGGATGATACTATTGAAGAAGGTGATTTCATAGTTTCAAATTGACAACTGATATTAGATGCCATATGGCGCTGTGTCTCTGTTCATTAATTAATTCAATGTAGTGACTTTGTGAAACGAAACTAAGTGAATTACTTCTGATAAATATGGATAGAATTGTAATGGTTGAAATTTGAAGTAAAACGAGAATTTTTGACTATTTTTGATCAAAAACAAGCTGGTAGAACTAGGTCATCATTAGTATATCATATATCATTACAGAATATAAACATATCACCAAAACATGATAAAGAGATTATTTATGTTCTTTTATGATATATGATGTACTAATGATAACTGAATTCTGCTAACTTTTTTCTATTGAAGGCAAAAAAAGAAATACGATGATAAAATCATTTAAATTCTTGTTTTGTATTTGAAAAAATAGTCACAATAGCAACTGCAATATTTCAATCAACGAAATAGAGAAAAAATGTTGAATACTTCTAGTTCATTCTTTGTGTCGTAATCAATAATAAGTGAAATATTATTTATTTAGAACCCATTGGATACCACGCGTTTTTTCTCTCGGTGGTCGACACACCAAACATCTACAATCGATATGTTTTCGAGGAGGTAAAATATGTTCATGAGGTTGCTTCAATAATTTACCATATGTTCGAGGTGATTCATACCATTTCGGTGGTACATAATGATATTCAGGAGCTTTCCATGATTTAGGAGCATGAACTGAATCAATTGGTAAATACCACCAACGAGGATCGAATGTTTCTAATATTTTATGTTGATGCTTATGTTGTCCATGGGTTGATTGAGGTTCATGGGTTGCTTGGTATCCTCCATGAGAATGTTCATGATTATTAATTGGAGGTAAAGAAAAACGTCCAGTATCCTGATGATTATGTGTATGTTGATGATCATGTGACGGAAAAGAATGTCCATCTGATTGATGTTGATG